TTTTCAACTTTTAAGAAGATCTTAAAAAATGTAGCTTTTTAGGACGAAACTTCTTGTAATTGCAAAAAAAAAAAAAAATTTTTAAAGTAATGAATTATTAAAATAAATGAATAGAACTTATGATATTCTATCAATTACCTAATTTGTATAAGCAGTATATATTAAAAAGTTTAACAGTTAACTATAAGGCAAAATTTTCAATTAATATTACACAAATAAATTTAATTATAAATTTGATCTGCATATGACATGTCTGACGCTTGCTAAGAAAACTTAGTAATAACCGCTATCACAGCTTTAGTTTTACTAAGAAAACTTAGTAATAACTGCTATCGTGGCTTCAGTTTTACTAAGAAAATATAGTAATAACTGCCATTGCAGCTTCGTAACAATTTTATTAGTAAAAAATGTTTCTAAAGTCATGGCATGTTTTTTTACTAGGTTTCTTAATAAAATAACATAACATCTCTGAAGCCACAAAGGCGTTTTTACTATGGTTTTCTTGATAAAAAGACATTTCTGAAGTCATAGAGGCGCTTTTTACTATGGTTTTCTTAGTAAAAAAGGCATTTTTGAAGCTGCAGAAGCACTTTTTACTATGATTTTCTTAGTAAAAAAGATATTTTCGAAGCTGTGGGGGCAGTTTTTAATATGTTTTCTTAGTAAAAAGGCATTTCTGAAGCTGCAGAAGCACTTTTTGCTATAGTTTTCTTAGTGAAAAAGGTATTTCTGAAGCAGCAGATGCGTTTTTACTATAGTTTTCTTAGTAAGTATCACTTCTGAAGCTTTGGAGATGGCTTTACTATTGATTCAAATCAAATCAAATATTTGAATACTTGATTTGAATTTAATCGAATCGAATCAAAGATTAATTTAGATTTGATCAAATCAAATCAAATATAAATTTGAATTTGTATTTGATTTGTTTTTCAAATCAAATATTCAAATATCAAATTGAATTGCAGAACCCTAATAATAATAATAATAATAATAATAATAATAAAAATAATAATTATAATAAAAATAATTAAAATAATGAAAATATGTATTATAATAATTATCCAGTTTATAAGGATTATCAGGTAAATCCTAAGAATTCTAGGAATCCTATGGATCCAGAATTATGCAAATCTTCTAATTTTGTGATTGACATAAAATTAATTCCAGTAACTTTTGTAGATCACTTAATAATTCTTTGTAGATCAATTTTTCAATAGTGAATTTTTAGCCGGTAACAACGCTAAAGAATTTACAAAAGAAGCAACCTAAAATATAACTCTATTAAGTTTCTGGCTAAGTTGTCTGATTAATTTTAGATTACAACGATAACCTAATACAAATGCGTTCATGTTACTAAATTTCAATAGAGGTTCTTCAAACTATCACTTTTAATGCTAAGATATCTATCAATTTAGATTACAACAGACCACCGGATTAATATGAGACCCAAATCACATAATCAGTCAAGTTCAGTAGTTATTACGTGAGATTCTGCAGTTTTTGACATCAGAGATCTGCAAATAAAAGTGTTGCAGTTTAAGAAGAAATGGGAAATGTCATTACGTGTATTTATGTATTTAAAGTAGATTAATACTAATCATCAGTTGAGATATCTCTTAATGCATACTTTATAGGTAAAAAATTTTGAAAATGAAAAAATGAAAAAATGAAAAAAAATGTATTAAAGAGAGGTAAAGAAAAATATTTTAACAAAAAACAATACAGTTTAGACTTTAATAACAATTTTTATATAGATAGGGGTTGAAAAAATAAAAAAGGAATATATTTGAAAGAGAGATTTTTATTTTATTCTTAAGCTAAGCCACAATCACCTTTAAATAGATACTTTTTTAAAGTAAAACTTCTTGAATAAAATTCAACGAAAGGAGAGAGTTTTTTTTTCTTTCTAAAAAATTTATAATGTAACACTGCCAGTAACTTTATTATTTATTTTCTAAAAAATTATAAAAAAATAAATCATTATAAAATATACAGAATTGTGATACAAAATTATCAATTACGTATATAAACTTTATAAATAATATACTATTTTCTTATTTAAATTTCTTATAGGTATATTTTTAATTATTTTTTTTATATTCTTTACAATAAAAATCTTTTTGCATATTGCTTATTTAAGAATTGATGTAATATAGGAGTGTTTTTAGTAAAATTACATTATGGATCATATGATTTACTATGCTTTATGACTTGATTTTACTGGAAATGTTCTCATATATTAACATAATTTTTAATATTTTATTCAAGTTTTTTTTTAACAATTTAAAATTTTAATATAATTTATTATAATAATAAATAAATATTTATTATTTTAATTAGTTAAATATTTATATTTATAATCATACTAATTAATAATAATAATTATAAATTGATTAATTAAATAAAATTATAATAAAATTTAATTTAAAGTTATTTAAATTGATTAATTTAATTGTAATTTTATTTTAATACTTTAATTTTAATATTTAAATATAAAAAATATAAAAAATTAAAAAAAATAATGATAATAGTATATATATATAAAAAAAAAAAAAAATTTTACTTTATCAAAATTTAAAATTAATATTAATGATTTTTTTTATTATAAAAATAAAAATAAATATAAGTTAATTCCTTTTTTTATTTATTTTTTTAATTATAAAAATAAAAATAATTATAAGTTGATTCCTTATTTATTTTAATAATAAAATATTTTATAATAAATAATATGATTAAATTTTATAATAAAAAATTATATTTTTTTTTTTTTAAATAAAATAACTTTTATTAATAATAAATATAATTTGATATATTTCTAATCTGATAATTATATTTTTTTATTAAATTAATTAATTTAACTATTTAGATATATATAATATTTAAGTTTTATTTATAATATTTAATTTTTTTTTTCTAATTATTTATTTTATTTATTTTATAATAATTGATTTTTTTTTATTATTTTATATATTTTATTATGTAATTTATTTTACTTTTGTAATTCTTTTTTAAAATATTTATTTATATAAAATAAATATTTATTTTTTGATGATTTGGCTTTAAATTTAAAAAACAATTTTATTTTTAATTAAAATATTTAATTAAAAAATTGAAATTTTTATAAATTTATAATAAATTTTATGATATTTTCTAAGAAAATCCAAAAAAAAATACCATTAATTAAAGATGGGAACTGTAATTAATATGTTGCAACATTTTGTAAATTTGAAATCAATTTTTGTACCATCTTTACCATTAATTAATAATTTTTTAAGGATAAATATAAATAAGTTATAATATTTATTATATATTAATCTTAGAAATCTTAGAAAATGAAAATATTGTTATTTAATATATTTATAAAAAGTATCTAATAAATTAAATTATATTTTTTGCAATTATTAGATATTGGAAATATAAATATAAATATAATGCCATTAGATATATTTTAATTAGATAAAACTAATAAGCTAAATTTCATTTTTTTATGATCACTAGGTATAGGAGCTTATCAATAGAAAGGAGGAAAATCTAAAAAAAAAGTTTTTATAAGTTAAAATTAAATCTGAACTTATTTTCTAAAAAAAATCATATTTAACATATGAAATAAAATTTTTATTTTTTTTAGATTTCTTCCTTTTCTATTAATAAACTCCCATATTAAAATATCTTAATTTTTTCTATAATTTTTAGTAAATTATTTTATATAACTATTTAAGAAATAATATATCATTTATATTAATAATTTTAACTTTAATAAATAAATAAAATTTTATTTATTTAATAAAAAATAAAAATTATTGTTTTTTTTTAATATTATCATTAATATAAGTTAATAATAAATTAATAAAATATTTAACCATTAATTTTTAAAAGATTTTGATACAATTTTATTATTTTATAAGTATTAATATAATATTATTTTATTATATACTTACTTCATTTAATAACTTATTAAATTCTAAAATTTTTTTAACTATTATATATCATAATTATATTATAATTAACATTTTATATATTTTATATTACTGCAAGTTAAAAATTTTTAATTTTAAAATTATTTTTAAAAAAAATCGAAATTATTAAAAAAGTATTATAATAAAATTTAAAACTTATTTATAAATAATTAAAATATAATTTTGTTTTTTGTTATTTTCAAGTTTTAAGATATTTTGGAATTGATTCAAATGGAACTCTAACTTCAAAAGATCCTGTTCCGCCTTGAATAACTTTACCTAATACTAATCTGGCTGATGGTGAATCCAATAAATCAGTATCTCCATGAAGAGTAGCTTGTGTTAAAAAAGAACATGTACTTTCAAAACTCATTTTTAATAAAGGAGAAGTGCTTGTATCTAAACCAATTCTATTGAATGGTTTGTATTTTCCTTCAAAAGTCTATTATAAATTTAGAAATTAATATTAGCAATAAACTTAATAAATTGAAATAAGGGAATAATATTTGTTACCATATAATCAGCAGGTTAAAATGTCGGGGGGTTTATATCGATACCGTTATGCAGCAAAACACCCTAAACCTCCTTTAGAATAGCTGCTCTTGCCGCCTTGACGCCATAAGTATTGAGAATAACCGCTATATCATTGGAATAAATGTTATTTAAATCTATTATATTGTCATATTTCCAAATATTGTAGAAATTAACACCCTCCGTTGCAACTATTTTCTTTAAATTAAAATATGTATTTAGAAAAATATCAAAGAACAATAAAAGTTCAAATTTAACATATAACACCTACTGAAGCATCATCATGAGTTTCGTTCTCAATAGGATAACATTTTGAAATACCATGAATTTCATGTATAACTGCCTTTTTACTTGCAGATTTAGCCATACCTAATAATAATAATATTTTCGTTCCAGGCGGAAACTAAATCATTATTAAATTAAAGTTAATGATATTCATTTATTATTATAATTTAAATCTTATATGATGTCATTAAAATTAACCTGTAATTCAATTTCGCACCAGTTACCATTTTCATAATCAAAGGGATAATTGGTGACATATCTAACCTTTAATCCATTTACAACTCTATTATTTCTCTGTCGACGTGAAGATGTGCTTGGTGTGCTTTTGTCATGCTCATTCTCTACATTTAAAGCATTAGGATGCTCATTATTATTATTTTTATCTTCAAATGTTGTTTCAAAATCCTCTTCATCGGGGAAAGCTCTTTGGGCTTGTCGGATTACCTCATATGTCGAGTTCTTAAACATTTGATCCCCATCATCTGAATCTAAATTAAAGTCAGAACAACCGTTAAAATAACGCTGGAAATATGCAATAATAAACAATCATATTGAACTGAATATATAACCATCTCCGCCGACGTTTCGAATAGGCGCGTTTTCATCAAATATTTCGTTTCTTAATTCCTTTGATTTCTGAGTGACTTTCCAAAATCAAAATTTGCAACATCTGTATAGATATTTATCAATTTAAATATATTAAAGAAAAATAATAAATTAATTTGTACCTACCAACTGTGTCGTTTATATTACTAGCATGCTTAACTTATTTCTTTATGGAAAGTTCAAGATATTTAATAAAATTTAATTCAATAGCATCCTCAATATTACGTGGTAAAATATTAAATTCTTCTTTATATTCGTGTTTTGGATAAAATTCCATACGAATTGTATACATTTTTTTTACGTATTG